GTCCCCTGCATCGGCAGGCGGACTCTCAACCACTGCACCACCGGGGAAGCCCCGCTATTTCTTTTTAAAGGCTCCAGGTGGACGGAACTAAACTCACCATAATCCTCAGGATATGACACATTCTGTTTATCGGTCAATACGCGGCCTTCCTTTATGTTTATTTATTTAATTAATTACTTTAAATTCTGTAATCAGCACCCGCGCTGTGAATAAGCCCCCCACGTGGGAGTTAGAGCCTTGACAATAACCATGTCTAACCTGTGGGTTCCCCTCCCCCCTGCCTCCTCCCATCAAGGTAACTACCACCTGAATTCCATGCTCGTTACTCCCCCACTTGCCTTTTTACATAGCTTATCGCACCTCTGTGTATTCCTAAAAGCTTTATGGAAAAGGTGTAACGTTACAGCGTTGGGGGTTTGGTGTTTGTTTTGAACTTGACAGTATATTGCTGCATGTTATTCCGCTATCTTGACTACACTGTGGTTTATTCACTCGCTCTCCTGCTGATGGGCATCTGGGGGGCTGCCAGGTTTCTATATGTGGGCCGTGTAGCTGTGACCATTCCTGTACATGTCCCTGGTGAATATCTGCAAGCGTCGGTCTCGGCTACTGACCCAGGAGGGCAACCGGATGAGCTGTAAGGCATGTGAATTGGGGAAATACTGCCAATGTGGTTTCCAAAGTGGCTGCAATGCATGAGGAATCCTGCAAATCCTCATCTTCTCCAGCACTGAGTATGGACAGGCTTCTAACATTTTTCCAATCATATGAGTATAAAATTGCATCTCACTATGGCTTGACTTGTATTTCCCTGATCCCCAGTTATGTACACATCTCTTCAGATACTTACCTATCCCTCGTCTCAAAATGCTGTCTCAGGTCATGTGCCCACTTTTTAAACGGGGTTGTGTGTGCTTTTCTTCTTACACATAAAATATATCTGTATCTATCTATAGTTTCTATATATTCTTGATATTGATCATTAGACAGTATATACATTGTGAATATCTCTGGGTAAGTGGCTTGTATTTTCCTTTCATTAAGGTGTCTTTTGATCTAGTGAATTTATCTGAAAAACAGGAGTGATAACACTTCTCTTCTCCATCCTCCCCACCCCCAGCTGGTCTCCTCTCTCTTCTCTTGCCCCTCTCATCCATCTTCCCCACCGTGGCCACTGTAATCTTCTTAAAAGTGCACATCAGATCACATCACTCCCCTACTTAAAACCTATAAATGGTCCCCCTCCTCCCGTAAGGTAAAAATCAAACCCAGACCACTGCCTACGAAGCTTGCTAGGACCTGGTCCATGGAACTACCCTCCCCAAGTTCAACTCCAAAGACTCATCCCTCTGCTTTCTGCTTTCCCACCCACTGGCCTCTCTCCATCCCTCGCAGGGGCCAGACGGCTTCGCACCTTGGCGCTTTTGCACGTGCTGTTCCTTCTGTCTGGAATGTTCTTTCTCCCCTCTTCATCCAGCCCTCCGCGACCCCACCCCCAGTCTGGACCAGGTCTCCCCTCTCATTAGGTCTCAGAGCCTCTGGAATGGCACTAAGTTGCTGAGTGTGTTCTGTCCCCCCGCCCCCCGCCCTTCGCCCGCCATAGAATGCAAGCTCCGTGCGGACTGGGACTGAACAACCTTGTTTTTCACCAAATCCCCGGTGCCTGGCCCGAAGCAGGGGTGACACAGCTATCTGCTGGGTGCTTGAAGGGAGGGGTCGTGGGTCTACGGCACGAGGCTTGGTGCCCTGTGGGTTGGGGGCTCCGTAACGTTAGTTGCCTTTCTTCCTCTCTCCCTCTGCTCCCGGGGAGGGAGGGTGTGGATTCTATTGCCAGGAGCGCTTCTCACTCATCAGACCCTAGGTGCCTCTTGGCTCAGGTGTACCTCCTGCCAAGTGATCACTCTTCAGGCCATATTTACACCAAGTCTGCTAATATCCAATAATCAAAGATGGAGAACATGGCAACTCTTGGAAAGCCCGTTGGAAATAAGGCTTCTTAGTCACCTGAACCAACTAGTCTGGAGTCATAGAATCACCAGATCTTAGTTAAATGGAGCCCTGGTGGTGAACTGGCTCAACTCTTCCTGTCACAGCCATTTAATGTGTCCATAGCCACTGCTTGGCTGGGACCCCAAGCTCGGGGCCAGGGTTCTCTCCAAAGCCCCAGGCTTTAAACTAAGGGGATACCGTCTGTTTTCTAAAATCAATTGGACCACTTTAGGCTTCTGTGACCCCTTTTCCTATTATACTGAATGTGTTCTGTTAAAATAAAGGCATTAGTCTCCTTGTCAAACAGAATCTTCACACTGTGCTATTGTTGGTCTTATTCTCATTTTAGCCTTAGTTCATCACAGGCTCAAGCGAATGGCTTTAATTTCATCAGCAGTAGCAAGCCCTCGGGAATCTCACCATGGTGGCCCGTGGCCTTTAAGGCCCCTTGACCCTTAGATCCCTGGTCTGGAGCCAACACAAGCTCCAGCTCAAACTTACTTGTGTCCAAATAAGACACCGAGAGGCTGGGGCGAGGGTTCCACCCCTTGGGGCCCTGCTACCGTCGGGTGAAAGCACAAAGAGTATTGGGCCTGGTCTGACAGCACTTAGGGATGTGATAATAACTTTCTGTCATGGAACCAAAGATTAGAGGCCGTGGGAACACTTCAGAATCCACACCTATGTGACAAGGCGGCGCTGATTTCCCATCGTCCTCCCTGACAGGGGATCGTGTAACTTCAACTCTGGAATGTGTTATGATACTTTCTATTTCAATGGGGGTTTGCCTGATAGCCTGGAGTTCCTTTCATATGAAACAATGACGCCCTCCCAACTCAGGAGAAGCACTGCTTTCTCACCCATGGCCCCAGTTACCCCATGCACCCCGCAAGTCCACAGTGAGCGCTTCCAGAGGCCGAAGACACACACAGGCCCAAGCCCAAGGCCGGGGCTGAAATATTGGGCCACGAGGGCACACAGTAAAACACTAACCAGGTGGAATGGAGGACATCAAGTTCGGAGCCAGGCTGTCTAACTAAGTCTCCTTCAGAACCACCTGCAGAGGTACAATGGCTGAGCCAGCGAACTGCCTTCTGCAAGCCTCCAACACACACACACACACACACACACACACACACACACAGGCACCTCTTTCCATTTCCCGAATATCAAAAATTCTCTCTGAGTTTCTTCAGACCCATGATCAAAATTCTAGAATGAATTCAAGGAGTAGGTCTCTATTACTGAGAGGAGGGTAAATTCTAACACTCCTAAGAAAATGTCTCACAGACCACTTAAATGGCCCAAAGCAGAATCATTCATCAGGGACCCTTGGATATCCTCGTGTCCGTTCCAGCAGCCTCTCTGTCTCAGCATCCCAGGACGGGCCCCTTGACTCTGGGCTCTTGTCTGCTGGTCCTTCATGTGAACTTGGCTGCACTAATAGAGCAAAGCTACCTACAGCCTGACCTGGGGAAACGTCCTTCTGGATTTGCTCAATCTACTGTCTGTTTAGCTGATTTTGCCAGAATCTTCCCAGCTCACTCTTGGTGGCTCCTGTCGGGGCCCCTCCTGTAGGAGGGTCTCCTCCCTTTGGTGGGTGCCCAGGGAGCCCAGTCCAGCCTTCAGATCCTATCCCTGCAACAAGGGTAAGGATGCTACTGAGAGGTGGCTGGGGCACCGCTTTCTAACGACGATGAGGGTGACGCTCTCACGTGTGACGCTCGTGTTGAAACAGCTCAGCCTGACGTCCTGCCCTTCGCTGCAGTGTGCTGGCCTGCCTCGTGAGGAGACGAGGTGGGCTGGGGACCTCTAGAGTGACCACCCAGAGGGTGACATGCCCAGGAAATTCACCAGCAAGTGCAGATGTCCCTGTTTCCCTAAGACTTGGTGAGCCTCTGTGATTTGACAAATGAACTCCTATAGCAACTTCATTTCACTAACACCTGACACCACACGTCCAGAGCCTCTTTCTCTCTGTCATGAAATTTCGGCCTAAACATCCCTCTATAAAACCAAGTAACAACCCACCAAGTCCTTACATTCCTTAAAAATTTAATACCTACAAACAGCAAATACAGGGAGATGATTAGGCGCAGGACAGCTCATGACACCAAAGGAGGACTCTTCATATGGTCACTTATTAAGTGACCATCTTAGTGTGCATCTACTCTGTGCCAGCTCTGTCCCGGGCAGTAGGATATGACAACGACTAAGGTGACAAACATCTGTACTTGAAATAGTTAATGTCTAGTGGAGAGATGGGTGTTTAACAGATAAATCTCTCCAATGACTTCTGGGAGCGATGAGTGCGTAAAAGGTTAGACAGGGATGGAGGCAGTCTAACTTAGATCACTCGAGGTCATGAGGTTTCCATCCTTCAAAATTCTGAAAGGCGTGCATCTCTCTTGGAGAAGCTGGAGGGCAGGTTTTATATCTGCTGAGTCTGAATCCTGCCCTGTTGGCAGCCACCTGGTGTCCTTAGGCACCTGGCTCAACTCCTCTGAGCCTCAGCTTCCCTGTGTGCAGAACAGGGGATAAGAATCCCTCTCTCAAGATCACTACTATGGACTGTATTGTGTCCCCCTCAGATTCATGTGTTGAATGAATATGATTATATTTAGAGATAGAACCTATAAGGAGGTAATTACAGTTCAATGGGGTCATACGGGTGGGGCCCTGATCCAACAGGATTAGTGTCCTTATAAGGAGAGACACCAAGGGGGACCTAAAATATGACATAAATGAACATATCTATGAAACAGCAACAGACTCATAGGCATAGAGAACAGACTTGTAGTTGCCAAGGGTGAGGGAGGGTGGGGGAGGGATGGACTGGGAGTTTAGGATTAGCAGATGCAAACTATTATATATAGAATGGATAAACAACAAGGTCCTACTGTATAGCACAGGGAACTATATTCAGTAGACTGTGATAAACCATAATGGAAAATAATATGAAAAAGTATGTATATATATGTAGAACTAAATCACTTTGCTGTACAGCAGAAATTATCACAACATTGTAAATCAACTATAATTCAATTTAAAAAAAAAAGAGAGACACCTAGAGCTCTCTCTCTCTCTCTCTTTCCCTCCCTGCTGTGTGAAGACATAGGGGGAAGACAGTTGTTTACAAGCTGTGAAGAGAGCCCTCACCAGAAACCAAGCCTGCCAGCTCCTTGATCATGGCCTTCCAGCCTGGAAGAAAATACAGTTCTGTTGTTTAAGCCACCGGGCCCACGGTATCTTGTTATGGTTGCCTGAGCTGACCAAGACAGTTGTTGAGAGGAACTGACAGGGTCCAGAATGGCCGCATCACATAAGCAGCCTCCTAGTTGCTCCTCTGAGTGAAGGATTTTCATGATGTCTTTCCTCCAAGGGGCTCTCCGGGGACTTTGAAAATATGTGATATTTTCAACAATAAAAATCCTTACATCTCTTAACTATGACAATTGTCCGGAACAGCAAGAAACAGAAATGGAAGGGTGGTTAGAAAAGAGAAGATTCTCAACAACCACACAACCCCCACACAGGGAGGATATTGGTAAGGAGGTCCCAAGACTGTTCTATCTCCTGTGTTGAGATGTTTCCTTAAGCCTTTATTTTCTTCTGAGGAAGGCTTACTCCAAACAGCCCCAGCTCTGGCAGGCCTTGAGTAAGTAATGCCGTCATGCATTGTATTACCATGTATTTTACAAAAGTCTTCTGAGGTTCTGGCTCTCTGAACAGAGTCAGGCAGGCATTGTCGAAACTTGCAGAGTTGACATTCCAAAATACGGTCTCTCCAGAGGTGAGCAGTGAGGCTGGTGAGGAAAGGTAGCATGCACCTGAGCAATTGGGGCTCTGCTCATTAAGGAGGGCTGAGTCTGACTGATCCTGAAGGGGAAGATTATCAAGGGAAACCTTGGAACCGTGAGAAGTAACGCTGGTGACTCAGAAAGGGGCTCTCCTTTCACAGAGCATGACCTGTTTTGTTCACCAAGTCATCTTTCAGCCCAATTTTCTCCCAGCCAAGGGTGGAATTCAATAATCCTATGCCCTTCCCAAATTTTACAGCTGGAAAATGCATTCCTCAGCTTCCTACTTTGCAAAGTGGAAAATTCCCATGGAGCCCAACTGCTACATAGTGTGACTTTAGCCTTTGCTACTTCCCTGTGTGGTTCTCTCGTTGGTTGCCAGTGGCAAGCATACCTAAATTCAGGCCTCTGTGTTTCTGGATTGTAGAAGATTGCAGTTGCTGTGTCAAACTTAAAGTCCTTTTTCTTTAGCCAACCAAGTGTTGTAATTAAACAGAGCATTTGTGAGTAAGAATTCAGTAAATCCGTTATTAATTCACTGACCTACCTCGAAGGTAAGCAAATGCTGCCAGGGAGTGGCTGACAATAGCTCCATCTTTCCTCAGAACTCTTGGTTTCCTTGGGTCAAAGTTTATACCTGTTTCGTAAAAAATGCAAGACCGATTAATCACAACTGTTCACAGTATGCATTTTTTCCTAATCCAGGACTGCCATAATAAATAAAAAGTCATAGAGATCCAATAAGTGGGCCTCTGACAAAATTAGGGAAGACTAAGCCAGGAAGAGCATTTAGTAAGCAGTCTCTGAAAATATTAAGTGATAAAAGGGATTCAGAAATTCTAAAATGTGTTGGTTCCAACTTCACTCATCTACTCTACCGCAGAAGGGAACACGTTTATTTTCCCATTTTAAGGCAATGGCACTCATCATGCCTCTGGGAGATTTAATAATGTCCCACTTAACCACAGAGCTGCTGTCTGCTCTGTTCACCACAGATAAGAAGGCCTGGAATTATGGAGGGAGGTTGTGTTGGGCTACGTTTTTGGAAATGAAGCAGAATACAGGGCAGCTCTGGCTTCGGATGCCTGGTGAAGCTGCTGCGATGGAGCTTAGGGAGCCCCTGATGGGGTAGCCTAAGGGCCCTGGGGACCCCTGGGAATGTCAGACACGGCTCTCAGGCCTCCACTCCAGGGGGACCAGGATATTCATGGGATCTGGGTGGGAGCCCTCTTAGAAGGCTGGGTGGGAGCCCTCTTAGAAGGCCCTCTTAGAAGGGCTGGGAGAGGCTGGGAGAAGCAGAGCCTGGTGGAGAGCTGGAGGGCTGGAACTAGAAGAACATAGGATACTAACAATAGTTATCTCTAAGCTTTGAGACTAAGGGTGAGTTCTATTTCTTGGTGCTTTCCTGTGTGCTCCATAACAAGCACACTTTAGTTTTATTCTTAGGGGGGAAAAATTTCATAAATGTAATCAAAGTAACACAAGACCAATTCTCAACCTGCAAAGTGCAATATCTTATACAGATTGTCTTGCGGGGGGGCCTCTGTAATTTCTATCAAGAGCCCCAAGGGTCTGGGTCTGAACTCCATTCTAGATTTGATAAGAAGACCAAAACGTTCATCCCCTTATTTGCAAAAGGCCGGTGAAAACCTCAGGAAGAAGGGCACCTGTGGATAGAGGCACACAGGTCCAGCCTGGGTGTGGCCCACCCAGGCTCCCTATGGCAGAGGTCCCCGTCCCCCGGGCCACAGACTGGTATCAGTCTGTGGCCTGTTAGGAACTGGACGGCACAGCAGGTGGTGGGCGGAGGTGAGCAAGCGAAGCTTCATCTATATTTACAGCCGCTCCCCATCGTCTGCATTACCGCCTGAGCTCCACCTCCTGTCAGCACTATGGTGAGTTGTACACTTACTGTATTATATATTACAATGTAATAATAATAGAAATAAAGTGCACAATAAATGCAATGCGCTTGAATCATCCCGAAACCATCCCCCCCCACCCCACAAGCCCCGGTCTGTGGAAAAATTGTCTTCCACGAAATTGGTCCCAGCTGCCAAAAAAAGGTTGGGGACCGCTGCCCTGTGTGATCCTCTTTCCAACAAGCTCGTCGGATAATCCAGGAACCCCAGATTTATTTCGGAGCAGATCTCTTTTCAAGGTGACTTTTCTTTTAGGAAATAAGAGAGGGAATGGAAGGGGGATTTATCCTACTTATAATTTAAAGCACAAAATGCTGGCCACCGTTTGCAACCATCCGCCACAGCACTGCCATCCTCAGAGCTGGCAGCTCACACACCTTCCATCCCAACCAGCGTGCACCCACCTGCGGTCACATGGGGCTGTTCACCTTCACTTAAAGAGAAATGCTGCGAGTAAGCCATAAACCTTACCATAGTCACCGTCTTTCTGTTTCACAGAAGGTTTTAGATTAGCAACGGATGGATCGATCGCTGTGAGTATATTCTTGGGAACTAAAAACCAAAAAGAAATATTTTAAATACTTTGTACACATAATACAACTTTAAAATGCAATGTAGATAAGACAAAAAGAGATCAAGTTTCAAATCAGTACATAAATCACTCTGCTTGTCCAATACACTCACATACATACACCAACGGTACCCATGTGATCATCAAATGTCCCAGAAAGGTTAAACTTTAGGCCTATCTTGCAGTATTTAAAAAAAAACAACATAGAGAACAAATAAACAAGATATGGCATATCTATCCAATTGAATGATATTTAGCAATAACAAGGAATGAAGTATAATCATCTTTCGGTATCCTTGGGGGATTGGTTCCAGGACCCATCTTGGATACCAAAATCCACAGACACTCAAGTCCCTAATACACATAGCATATGATTTGCATGTAACCTATGCACATCCTCCCGTGTACTTTAAATCATCTCTAGATTCCTTACAATACCTAATATACTGTAAATGTTATGTAAATAGTTGTAAATACAGTGTAAATGCTATGTAAATAGTTGTCAGTGTGCAGGAAATTCAAGTTGTGCTTTTTACAACATTCTGGAATTTTTTTCCGAATATTTTCAGTCTGTGGTTGGTTGAATCCACAGATGTGCAACCCCCAGATACAGAAGACCGACTGCACTGACACTTGCTACGACACGGATGAACTTCAAAAACATTATGCTCAGTGAAAGAAGCCAGACACAGAAGACCACATATGGTATGATTCCATTCCTATGAAATCTCCAGAAAAAGAGACAGAAAGTAAATTCGTGGTTGCCGAGGACAGGAGTGGGGATGGGGACTGACCGCAAATGGGCGTGAGAGAACTTTGGGGATCTTGGAAATATTTTAAAATTGGAGTGTGGTGAAGGCTGCACGGCTCTGTAAATCTACCAGAAATCACTGGATCATTTTTACTTACAACGGGTGAATTTTAAGGTATGTAAATCACACCTCAATAACGCTGTTCACTCTGAACATCAACTTCCCTGAGACACAGTGAAACAAAATGAATGGGACCAACTCAAAACTCATCACCGACCTCTCCCGGCTGCGATTCCACTTTCTGTTCACCCTCTCTAACTCACTCCTTCCTTAATAACCCTGAGAGAATTCGAAGTCTCTGTGCTAGAATGCAGCTCTCAGTATTATAAGAAAGGATGACAGGAGGATGAAGAGAGAGGGCCGTGAAACAGACTCCCTTGGAAGATGGTTAAAGATTCTTCCAAACTGACCTTAAGAATAAACCATCCGGATCTCAAGACCCCCCAGGCAAAGCGGACAAGACGGTAGCAGGAGCTGAGCAGGGGGGCAAAGCAAGAATTCTGAAGAGCCAGTGCACTGCAGCCAGCTGGGAGGAGGGAGAGGAAACCAAATGTTTTCGCTACAGAAAATTATTTTTGTTTGTTCTTCGGCTCAGCTGGTATCTGGGAGAAGTGGCAACAGGAAATAGAAGTGAAGCCAATACAAACCGGGCAAGTTCAACTGCACTGATTTTTTGGAAAAGAGCTGGTAAGCCATCTTCAGCAGCAAGAAAACCTCATTTCCTTTCTCAAAGTGCTTAACAAAAGTCTTTTGGGGATGTCCCAGGATCAACAACCAGAGGACGTTCCTAAATTGTGAATTTTCCACGTGCAGGAGGCCCTGGCGCCTTTGTGACCGTCAGCAGCGAGGGTCACTTTCCAGGGCGGCACAGTGATGGGGACAGAGGCGGCGTAAGCTGTCCACCCCTCCCCCCGGGAATGCTCCTTGGCCGACCAAGGGGCAGGCACACTGCTGATCCTGGGACGCCGGCGGTGCCCCAGACAGCTGGGCTGTGCTGCCCCGGATGCTTTCTGATGAACAACCTCTCCATCACTTCTGCGCCCTGATTCCTCGGCAGGAGTTAAGTGCTCTCTGCAGGGGTGGTGTTTCTTTCCCACGTCTGCCTCTTGGCCTGTAGTCGAGATACAGCCGCAGGAGGGCTGGGCTCCCTACAAATGCCAGAGGCTTTCCAGCGCGAGGAGGAATTGCTTGGGAGGAATGAGCTTTGCAGAATAAAACATTAAATCGCCTGTGTCTGCCGTAGGCTCACGTCAGGGAACTTGCTGATTTACTATGTGAAAATGGCTCTCGTACTGGGAGAATCTCTTAGGATCTTTAAGGTAACAACAGGTGTCAACACACCTGTCAGATTCTCGCATCTCCTGTTTCAAACTGATTCTGAATGAGAACAGGGGCTGCGTGTCATTTACTACCACCCCTAAACCCGTCCCTCTCCACTTGAGGTCCTTTTGTGAAAATGCCAGCAAACCCCTTTCATGGAGCTCCCACCACGTGCCGAACCCGGTGCTCAGCGTTTAAACAGTGCCTCTTGTGCAGTCCTCTTAGTGACCCCGTGAAGATGCGTGTCATTCCCATTCCCGCAGATGGGAAAACTGAGGCTCAGAGATGAACCATTCACCTAGCAAAGGGCGAAGCTTCAACTCCTGGTCTCACTCACATATGCCCTTACTCTTTTCTGTGATGCTGGGACGTTCAGCCTTTGGGAACCCGATACAGGATTGTTTTAAAGGATTATAAAGATGGCAAAGCAATTCCCACTCAGATAGTCCCCCTCAAGCCTCTTAGGTGGAACCAGAGATGATGATTCTAATGGGCTCCAGTGGTTCGCTAAATTTAGGCAGGCCCCCTTCCTGAATTTTTTTTTCCTGAGTAAATCTGTGTCAAGCCTGGATCCGGGTAGACTTTAAGAAAGAAGCCTCCACAGGTTGAAATTAGAGCCCCACATAATTTTTCACATCAGAGACAAAAAAGATCTCTGCTTACCCTCTCAATAGGTACCCAGATTGCATGAGCACCTCTGAATCCCGTCATTCCCCCCATCCCGCCTGTCCCAAACCTGCAGCACCTACTTCTCCTGTCCCCAATCCTAGCACCTACAGAAGGGGGTACCCCAAATTCTGGTACCACCATCCCTCTTGTCCCCAGATCCCGGCATCCATTCCTTTTACACACAACCCTGGTCCTGAAACAGAGCAGGACCTTACGGTCTTTCTCCCCTATGTCCTCTGCCTGCCTTTTGCCTGTGGAAAAACTTTAGCCAAAGAATAAGTTTAATCAGAGAAGTGAGAAAATGCAGAAAGAAAGGAAAACAGTCAAAGGAGACCAAATAATAATAGTTTAGTCATTAAGCATAGTCAAGGACCATTAGTTCCTTCTCAAGGGCTATAGATGATATTCTGAGCCATATCTGTGAGCTGTCTTACAGATACTGAAACCCCCGCCAGGCGAGAGAAGTTAACTACGTGTTGACCAGACTGTAGGCATGACGTAAGGTGTCACAATTCCAAGAATTGGCCTCAAGGAAATGGGAACACACCGACCCTGGAACTGAAGAGTAACTGTACTTAAAACAATCAAGATGACGCTGGTCAGACCACCGATGACCAATTTCAAGATGACCGTCAGAGCTGACTGTGCTGTTTCTGCACGTAGCCCTCTCCCTCCGTCTATGAAAGCCCTTGGCCCATGATTGTCATTTGTAGGGGCAGTCGGCCTTTGGACAGGAGTCCGCCCCACCCCCATTGCTGACATCCAAAATAAAGCAAACTTTCCTTTCCACCAACTTTGCCTCTTTATTGGCTTTTAAGCAGCGAGCAGCTGGACCCCACTTTCGGTTACAGTACCACCATCCCTCCTGCCCCCAAATCCTGGCACCCATCTCCTGGGAGGAGCTGCAGGCCCCCGGCTGAGGTCCATGTGTTTCCTGTCCCTCTCAGGAACTGTCAGGGCGGGGATGCTGGCTGTCAGGGCGGGGATGCTGGCTGTGCCTCTGTCTTGGTGACCCTCAAGGACCAGTGGCTGTGGACCCAGGGAGAAGCCCTCCCCGTCGGGGTGAGGGGAGAGCAGGCCGTTCTCCAGGTCTGCCTCCTCCTAATAGGAGGAAAGTCTGAAACCTATCCTGTCCAAGAGATGTGGCTAATAATAAAACCTGGATAAAAATTGAGAGCGAGGACCTCGTCTAGCCATGCATTAAAGAAGGGAGCTCCAGCGATGCATCTCCCAGCCCAGTCAAAGACTGATTGCTCCGCTCTCCGATGCACCGCCTACAGTTCAAAAGGCAAAAGGCCCACAGCCTGAATCATTCCCCCGAGGGTACACCAAGACGCTGAAATTCTCCATGTAGCCTAGAGCAATGAGGGAGGGGAAGGCAGGATTAAAGGAAGCTATAAAATAGGGAGGGGTGTTCCTATCAAAATGCAAATTACTTATGTCCCCGGAGAACACCCTCCAAGGGCTCCCTGCTGCCCTTAGGTACAAGCCAATCCTTAGTCGCCCATCCCCCAAGGTCCCTCGGTCCTGCTCCTGTGCTCACTTCCCAGCCTTTGCCTGCCCGTCACCTTGCTGACTCCTTACACGCCTGGTCTCACTTGCCTCAGACGCCACTCCCCTGGGAAGCCCTCCTGGTCCCCCAAGTCACCAGAGCCTGGAATCACCACATTCCATCCTATAGCTCATGAGGGCAGGGACCACATTGCTCACAGCACTGAGGCAACCTCTCCCCAACCCAAGGGGCGGGGTATTTCCTGGGTGGGCGCAGACAGATTGCTGGACTGAATAGCGAAGCCGGTTGGACACTGCGGTCAGAAGCCAGGTAGTGGAACAGATGTCTATAGGGGTGGATCTTCCATGAGCCTCTTAGGTAAGAGCATCCTGATTTGAGTAGGGGGTTGGCTGGGCTCCTCTCTAGCAGCCATGTTTATAATCACATCACATGGTCTCTGGCCAAGGCAGATCAAAGGAGGGGGCTACTGGACCCCAGTCCAGCCAATTAAATAGGTCTCTGTTAGAAATTTGGAATTAAGTTGCCAGATTGCCAGTCTTCATGTTGTTCGAACATAAAAATCTAACAGAAGAATCACTCGGGCTGTGGGGATAGCTGTATGGCATCCAGCCCAGGGTCAGAGGGCTGTCTGCAGAGGGGAGAGAGAGAGAGAGAGAGAGAGACAGAGACAGAGAGAGACAGAGAGAGAGACAGAGAGAGGGACGGAGAGACAGAGAGCGAGAGACAGAGAGAGACAGAGAGACAGAGAGAGAGAGAGGGAGAGAGGGAGGGAGAGAGAGACAGAGAGAGGGAGGGAGGAGAGAGACAGACAGACAGAGAGAGACAGAGAGAGAGAAAGAGAGAGAGGGAGGGAGAGAGAGACAGAGAGCGAGAGACAGAGAGAGACAGAGAGAGAGAGAGGGAGAGAGGGAGGGAGGAGAGAGAGGGAGAGAGGGAGGGAGAGAGAGAGAGAGAGAGGCGGAGGTGAGGGACGGCTGCCATCGCCGTGAAGTCTCCAGCTGGGCCCACCCTGAGGCCTTGCTTTCCGGCCCTGGCTTCTGGAGACGGCCTTCTAGCCTCAGGGAACCTCCCCAACCTCAACCCCCTTTCGGCTTAAACCAGCTCAACTTGGTTTCTTCATTCATATCCAGAGAGTCCCAAGTAAGACAGATTCTCTTAGAAATTAATTCCCGACATCCTCTGTTTTTGTATCAACTCCCACATCAGTAGAACTCATGTTTTTAAAATGTAAAACTTTTCATGCCCATTTGATAATCTACAAAATATGCAGACATTGCAAATCATGTTTTCATGATTCAGGTTTCACAGTGAAGGGCCATCTGTCGGGGGGAGAAATAATTTTAAATGTCAACCACTTAAAAAAGAAAAAAAAAGTCAACCACTCAGAAGGTGGTTAGAAGTCGCCTTAGAAGGTGTCTGCTTGGACAGTCGGGGCTGGGCTGGGAACATTAAGTGGCCTCAGGCTGAGGGTCACCACCTCCCTTTGGGATAACTCCGGGGGAACCACACTGACGACAGGGGGCCACTGTCCACGGTCCCACGTCCGAAACCAAGATGCAAAGCCCCCTCTCTGACCTTGGCTTCCCACCCTCAAGCGGACTCACTTGGCTGCCTCCCTCTGCCATCCTTCGACCTCGTCCAGACCCTTCCCCGTTGCCCAGTGAGGCTGGAGCAGGCCTCTGCTCCGTGCCGGCCCTCAAGCAGCTGGCCCTGAGGGAGGAACCCACCACCGGGCAGACCAGGGTCCCCCAGAACGCTGACCGCTAACCCCCTGGGCTCTCAACACACCCAGCTCCATCACCACCGCCCTTTCCGAAGTCAGCCTGACCCCATGGCCCTTACTTCAGACCTTCTCCCATCTCCTCAAACCCCTTTCTCCTCCCCCAAGTCCTCACAGCGAACCACCTCAGCTCGCACTTATCTTGAGAAGGTTGGGAAGACAAGGGCCACGCGGTTGGAACCCCAAGCCCTCCCTCCATCCATTCCCAGAGCCTCTGCCCCACCCCGTTGGGACAAGGGACAAATCTTTCCCGCCCTCATCACCTTCTCTGGACCCCAATCTTGCCCAAATAGGCCAGGTCTCTCCAGCGTCTCGAATGTCTTCCTACTTTCCCAAACCTCTCAATCCACCCAGTTTTGACCACGTCCTCTAGCGCCATTCGGGTCCGAGTCATTGCCTGCCGCTGTCTGACTGGTCTCTGCTTCCATCCCGCTCTAGCCCACCCTCCACCCTACAGCCGGAGTGGTCCTCTAAGGGTCTAATCATCACCAAATGACTCCCTTACTTAAAACTCTCCAGTGGCACCTCCTCCCAGGACCCTGTGGGATCTGGTCCCGGCCCCTCCCGTGCCACCTCATCCACCTTCCACCTCACCCACTGCCCTCGTCTCCCCCACTCAGCACCTGCCAGCTCACGCCTGCCCACCCCTCAGAGGACGGGGCAAATTCGCCCCAGAGGAAAGTTCTCTTTGGAAAACTTCTCCGTTCCCCCACCTCCCACCCGCTAAAAGGGCCCCTCCACTGTTATCCTTCCACACGGCATCCTGTCCTTTTCAGAAGCATCAGTTATCACAGTGGGTAACGACACATTTCTCTGGTTATTTGTTTAATGCCCATCTCTCTCCCCCAGCTGATAATTCCATGAGGACACGGACAACGTCTTTTCTTTTTTAACTACAACACGCCCACAGTGTGCCGAACGAGTGAATGAGGGAGAGGAAGCTTGGACTGGAACACGTGACCCCCAGGCTCTGAAAGTCCACCTTCTCTTCGCGAAGAGCAGCCTCAGCTGGGAACTGCTCTGGCCTCGCCTGTGAAGGCGCACCAGGAAATCCCCTTATTTGCAGGTTAATGTCCTGCCCTTCCCTCAACGCTCAGCTGGAGAGGCCTGGAGTCACTAGAACTTCAGAGTGATCTGTCTGGTATCTTGGGGAAACTCAGCCAGAACGGGCTCCATGCTACCCAGAGCTGCTTTACACGGGAGCCAGCATACAGACTGGAAGCAAATAAAACCGTGCTTCCTGGAATGTGAGTGTGGGTGCTGTTACTCTGGGAATACAATCCTGTAGTCACTGTGCTGTGACTATTACAGCTTTGATTTTGCAGAGGACAACGGTTTGAGCTCGGGATAGAAAAGGCTGGGGATGTCACGAAATATTATCGGGCCATAAAAAAGAATGAAGTACTGACGCGTACTCCAAATAGATGAACCTTGAAAACATATACTAGGTAAAGAAATCAGTCACAAAGAACCACGTATTGTCCGATTCCATTTATATGAAATGTCCAGAAGAGGCAAATCAGTAAAGACAGAGAGGGGTGGTTGCTTTGGGTGGGACTGGAGGGTGAGGGGTGGGTCGGGAAGTGACTGCTGAAGGGTCCAGGGCTTCTTTGGGGGAGTGACGAGAATGTTCTTAAATGAATTATGGTGGGAGTCGCACAATTCTGTGACTCTACTAAGATCACCGATTTGTATGATTAATGGGTGAATTGTATAGTTTGTGATTTATAGTTCAATAAAGCTCTTACCAAAAAAAAAAAAAAAAGACAGGCTAGGGGTATCTGGCAGGGGGAAAGGGGTTTCCATGAGCAAAAGTATGGGGTTCTTCAGTTATGATGTTCTTTGCTTTCCCTTTGCTTCTATACTTATTTCAAAAAACAAAAAACAAAAACAAAAAACACCTCTAAAAACCAGTTCATATGTCAGGATTACAAACCAGAAATCCACGGCACCCTCTGAGGGTAATTAACACCTGATTTTTAAAGGCAGCTTTATAAAATTAGAATCAAATGAATGAGCAATTTCATGTTATTATTTGAAGACACTAGGAAAACAAAGTGATGCTGTCATGTAACATATTTAATGGCTGCGGGGTAAGCATTTGATCTGTTGGTTTAACCCCGGGGGTATGTCGATAAAGCGGCTGTCGGCAGCACAGAGAATTAGTCATTTTACAGCCTAAAGGCTGGGATGGAAGATCAGCTAGGAGTCCAGCAATACTGAGTGAATTTGTGTGACGTACCCATAAATTTCAGAGCCTCCTAAGAACCCAGCTTAAAATCATTCTTCTCAGTGACATCCATTTTATCCCATTTGCTTGTTCTTTTCCTGCCCACCCCGCTTGCTGCCAATCTGATTGCTAAAAGCACTTTTAAAACAAACGTGGACCAGAGACAATTCGATCGCTTATCTGAGGCGAATGTCATAAACAAGGCTAAGGGATAGGAGAAAAGGCTCGCCAATATCTGGGATGACAGCACAGTTTCAGGGTAGAGTGAATGCAATGGTTTGTTACCGGAAAACTCCTGTTCACATGCTCACCACCTCCCCAAGAGGCAGGGTCTCCAAGCAGCTTGGGGAGGGTGGATTCTTACCACATGCGTAGGTGACGGTGAGGTATTTCTTCACTCCCGGAAGACAGGGGCTTCCGAAATGGTGATTGTTGACGAGGATTTTGCATCTCTGCTTCCCGTAACACCTCCTGGATAATACTTGCAAAGCCGAGTAAGACAAGCAATCTGAGAGGCAAAAAGAAAGAATCAAGAACTTCACGTTAGTTGGATTCCATGTATGGCCACCATGTCGCTACTGTTATTTTCTGTAAATAAGGATACTGAGCTGGATCTCACATCTTACGGAGATCGTTTCTCTGATTATTTTCTGTCTCATCAAAGCACCCCGCATGGGCTAAGTATCGATACTACACAGGCAGGCCTGGAAGGGCTTACTTTAATCAGACTGCTCGAACCCTCTGCTGTCACTGGTCGGAAATCCTTATGTAGTTTTGAACAAGGGGCCCTGTATTTGCATCTTGCACTGGGCACTGCCCCTGTCTCCCCAGTCAGGTAACGGGCCTCGCATATAGAAGAGGCAAAGCACGCAGAACACTGAATAAAGATTTGTATTTCTTTTGCGAGCGTTACCTCTCTGAAATACTTTAGTTATTGGTTAATTTTGAGAATCCTTCTCCCTGTGTGAGCATAAGCTCCATGAGGACGGGAACTATTTCTATCTTGTTTTTTATCTAATTCCCACAGCCTGGTCCACTGTGGAAATCCAGTAATAACGAATGAATGAATGAACAAAAGGATAGATGAATAAACACAAGGATGTGGTTTTCAGCACCCTGGCACGATGCCATCACAATTAGTAAATATTAATTGAACACGTACGGAGGACAAGGCACTGGGCTAGGTACCGTCTGAAAAACAAGTCAGAAGAAGCCTGCCTTGCATTCGCAGGATGTCGGATGGGGCTGGAGAGACAAAACCCACATTAACCTGACGGCTAATAATGTGAAACATGGAGTGAGTGTCAGCAGTGATTGGTCCAGACAAGAGGTGATGGGGTTGGAGGCAGGAGAGGTTGCTAGGGACCGGAGTGGTCAAGACAGGCTTTATGGAGCAGAGGGGCTTGGTCATGGGAGAAGCAGCATGAATTGGACGGAGGCAGGCAAAGAGAGAAAGGTAGAAACACCAAGGCAAGTGGGCCAGAAGCACTTCGTGGGAGTCTAGGGGCTCAGCGTGAGCTGGAATAGCGGGCATGGGCAAGGAAGATGCAGTAGATGAGCCGGAAAAGCAAAATGGAGCAGGACCAAGCTACCTCTGAACGCTGAGCTGAAGATTTTGAACTTTATTCTGCAAGCAACAGGGAGCCTAAAAAAATGCCTTGATGCTACTTCCTCTGGGGACAGTGTATGGGATGCCCTGGGAGAGAAAAGGAACCAAAGTCAGGGAGACTAGTTTGGAAGCAATTTTAATAATACACGTTGGGAGGAGTTAAGGGTTTGAAGAGAAGGGAATGGAGAAGAAGAGAATTCTAGACACCTCGCGAAGTTCAGCTCACTATAACAGCTAACATTCTGCCAGGCTCTGCTCTCAGCACTTGTATGTGAACTGATACAATGTTTCAACAACCCCATGAGATAGGTTGTTTATTATAATATCTTATATTTTAGAGAGACTATATATAGGATAGGATATATTATTATGTATCATAAGTTGCTTATATAATCTTTAATAGGTTAGTTGATATCTAATAGATTGTTTATATTACATATGTTTATATATATATATATATATACACATAGAGAGAGAGAGAGAGTGTGTGGGTGTATATATATATAAAATATCAATTTTGTGAATGGGCACACAGATGTGTGAGAGGTTACGGAACCGCATACAGCTAAAGAATGAGGACAGCAGGGTCTGGACGTGAACACCCAGGAAAGGCCCCCAAGTCTGCAGGTTTAACCTTTTAACCTCTGAGCTCCACTCTTCAGGTCTCCAGTGGGGGGGGGGTGGTGAGGGCCCCACTGAGGATGAGTCAGACCTTCAGCCTGGGGACAGAGGAGATGGCGGTGCCACTGCCGTGGACAGGGGAGATCAGTAGCAGTAGGCAGTTTGGAGGACGAGATAGTAAATTCATTAAAATAAAACAAAACAAAATAAAAAACTATTCTGCCTTTCAAAGGGGAAGGACCATTCAAGAAAGTTTTCAGATCCTGAGATGCCCGTGGGATGTGCGTGCCCGCAGAGCCCGAGGGCGGATGCTATGAAGCTGATCTCAGGGAGAGCACAGGGGCCCCCAGTCCCAGGACTTTTCTTTTCTTGGCTACACCACGTAGCTTGCGGGATCTTAGTTCCCCCACCAGGGACTGAACCCGGGCCGTGGCAGTGAAAGCGTGGAGTCCTAACCACTGGAGCGCCAGGGAAGTCCCCTCACAGGACTTTTCTTGTGCTGTCTGTTCATGTCTTACAGATGACAAACTCCTCTACCCTGTAAAAACAAAACCCCTGCAGTCCAATCCCGGAAACTGTCTCCAGCCTTACTGCCTTCCTTCACAGTCAGGATTCTGCAAAGGTCCTCCATGCCGGCCACCTCCGCTGTGTCCTCCTCCACCCACGTCCCAGCCATTCCTCAATGTGCCTCTGCCCTCCACACACCCTGACAAGGGTCCCTTCCCTCAGATCACAGGGACCTACTACTGTCCTAGCAGAGAGATGTGGCGGCCCTAATCCTCGCCCATCTCCGGAACTCGGGTGCCTGAACACTCTTGCTGGAGGCTTCCTCCCTGACCTTGGCTGCCTGGTGCCCTTCCCCCCCATCTGTCTGACTGCTCCATCCCAGAGACCCCTGCAGGCCTGCTCGCCCCACAGGAGGTCCTTCCTCAGCCTGGGCTCTCTCCTTGCACCTGCACACGCCATCTGGGCCCACGTCCACCTGGACCATCAGAAAACTGAGGACCCGACCGCTTCCAGCTCCCATGATGGATCGCCTTCGCTGTTCCCTCAGGAACCTCTCACTCCTCACGCGACATTCATCATGTTCCCCTCCCCCACCAACACCCAAGTGAAGCAGCCTGAGCTTGCTCTTCCCCCACATGCTGCTCTCAGTCTCCCTGCGACATCCTCTAGGCAGCCCGGCCAGAAGCCCCGGCTCCCTCCTCCGAGGTCTGATGCTCGGTCCTAGAATCATCCCTCCTCAGTTCCCCGCTGCAGCTGCAGCTTCAACCCTGTCACTTCTGCAGGAAATCTTTTTTTTTTTTCTTTTTTTGCGGTACGCGGGCCTCTCTCACTGTTGTGGCCTCTCCCGTTGCGGAGCACAGGCTCCGGACGCGCAGGCTCAGCGGCCGTGGCTCACGGGCCCAGCCGCTCTGCGGCATGTGGGAATCTTCCCGGACCGGGGCACGAACCCGTGTCCCCTGCATCGGCAGGTGGACTCCCAACCACTGCGCCACCAGGGAAGCCGTCCAACTCCATCTCTTATGTTAACTAGAGATCCGTGAAAGAGTCCAGTTGAAAGGAAGGATCTGTTTGGAAATTCCCTGGAGGTCCAGTGGTTAGGACTCTGCACCTTCACCGTTGAGGGCGTGGGTTCAATCCCTGATTGGGGAACTAAGATCCCATAAGCAGCACGGTATGGCTAAACCAAAAAAAAGGAAGAAAAAAAAAGAAAGGAAGGATCTGTGGTAAACACCACAAAGCTGGAAAGACAATGATCTTGAAGAAAGGACAATTAAATTAAATAAATACACATACACACACACATATATGCACACACACATATATACAATATATAAATTATATATTTGTTTATGTAATATGTGTATATTATATATTCACACATATAAAAATATATGGACCCTATAAACATATATGTATATATGTATGTGTGTATGTGTGAATATATAGTATATATTTTTTCTGATATATCTAAATGTATGTAATATGTATATCTCAACAAATGGTGAGGAACATTATTATAAAAGCACTTGATCTGAATATATTCATGAAGGTTCTGATTTATTTTGCTAAGTCCAGTTCCATGATCACTGGAGTGTTGGGCACATAGCAGACACCCAACAATGATACACTTAATGAGTGAATTAGTGGACTGGCATGGACGCCAGGGAATGCAAACATCCCATATATCTGGCTTTAGAATGTGTTTGCTCTGTGTGTGTGGGGAGGGGGCAGGGTGTGATCCGTGAGTTCAAATCTGTGCTGAGAAAAGCTGCCTGGAGGGGCTTCAGGAAGCTGTCAGCCTCCTTTTGGTCCCTGGGTCAGTTCTCTGCAACTCGCTCTGGCTTGGAATAGATCCATCTTTTTTCTGACTGCTTCTGAATACTCCAGTCTAAAGAAGGCATCTTGCTGGACCTAATCTGGTGCATTCTTATGAATGAAAGAAAAGTAAACAGAGCAAGTCAAGCAGCCAATGAAGATAGAATGAAATGTTTTAAGTGCCTGAGCATCAAGTACGTCTTTGTGAAGAGTAAAGAATAGTAACGTGAGCAGCGGGTATCATCAGGGTTCCGGCAGGCCACCCAGCGCTCAAATCGGACAATGTAAAGCAAGCTTGATAAAGAGACTTTACAAAGGTGTGGATGGGATGTGAACACCTCGAAGGATGGTGCAGGACCCCGGGGCAAGGAACAGCAGTGAGATGCTACCACCCCAAGCCTAAGGGGCAAGGGCAATGGCTTCCAGAGCACAAAGGGGGATGCCCCACGGACAGGGCTGCTGCACGGAGCTGGGGTCTGCGGTGGGCAGTCGTGCTGCTTACGGTGCATTGTGTTGCGTTAGGTTAGCTGCTTTGGTGCCTGGATCTCTCATTGGATGAGAGCTCCTGGAGGGCATGGGAGTTTCTCTGCTGTTTGCCCAGCACCTGGTATCTGCTCAACTCACTGAGACTCTGTGTCCCTCCTGCGTAGCACGAGGAACATCTTTTTCACTGTCTCTCTGTGAGGTTTGTATGAAGCAACTGCGGAAGTCAAAGCCCACATAAATGTGAACTGTTCTCACCAGCTGTCTCTAAGGGCGAATGGAATACCTCCTATGGTTAAGAGTCCAGAAAATGAAAACAAGCATATGGTACAATCAGACCTAAATATTAAAGTTTAACCTGCAAATAAGCGAAAATTTTAAAACACTGTAAGGAGAATCACCAAGATGGTAACAGGGGATATTTCTGGCTGATGGGAAAGTTTTTTTTTTTCCCCTATCGATTTTAAGATACT